TCTAACCACATATTGTGTAGCCATGAACTTGGTGAACACTCTAGAACACATGTCCTTAGTTTATACAGAAGAATTTTCCATTTTTTTTACACCCCAACAACTTACACAGTTAATTTTAAATTTGTCTCTTTCCTCTTATATTTTACTCTAAGTGGCAAGGATGAACCACATAGTCCCTTTGAGAGCTTACTTAGAAATATCCTCTGTCAGATATCCAAGTTCATCACTTACAAGTTTGACCAAAGAGACAAACATAATTCACATAAGTTCTTTGCTACTGCATAAAAACTATTGTCCTTCTTCCACTGTCCAGTCGCAGGTTTATCATTTCCTTTTTTCTTTGTATTGTAGTTTGGGTGAAAATATACAGAGCAGTTTAGTTTTACATACAAGAGTTTATGCACATTTTGTTTTTGTGATGTTGACTGTAATCCCCTCATGTAACAACACTCTCCAGTTCTTCTTCCCTGGGCTCCCTGCTTCCATTCGTATACTTCTTTCCTGCTCTCCGAGCTTTTTTCTTCTTTTTAAAATTCTGTCATTTTGTTCTCATATGATTGATTACACTGAGAAAGACATTTATCCCTGATACATTCGTTTTATAGATCATTGTTTGGCTAAAATTTCCTCGCTAGGCTGAGTCCAATTCCAGACCTGAGAGGCATCTAAGAGCCACTCAAGGAGTTCTGCTCATCTCTAACAACCCAGTTAATCTGGTCTTTTTCATGCTTTTAAATCTTGTTGTAGATATTCTTTCCTCATTCTCTGTGCATGCCATTATTGGTCCATTTCTAGGTTTCACATGGGCACAATTAAGTATGCTAGCATTCCTATTCTTCTCAATGTTAGCCAGAATTTGTTATGAACCATGTAGTCAAATGTTTTTGCATAATCAATAAAACACAAATAGATATCTTTCTGATATTCTCTGCTTTCAGTCAAGCTCTGACATTAGCAATGATATCCCTTCATGCCAAAGCCTGCTCTGAATCCAGCTTGAATTTCAGGCAGTTCCCTATTGATGTTCTGTTCCCGTCATTTTTGCACCTTAGTAGCAGTGGCCAAAAAGTTGAAAGATGTGCTGTCAAGGACCTTTCTCCAAAGTGCTAAAGAGCAATGATGTCAGTTTAAAGACTAAGGTGTGCCTGATTAAAGCCATGGTATTTTCATTTGCTTCCTATGCTTCTGAAAGTTAGACAATGAATAAGGGTGACAGAAGAATGGTTGATGCCTTTAAACTGTGGTATTGGTCAAGGGTATTAAATCAAGAGTGAATAAGGATCAACTCAACAGCACCTAACAACAGATAGTCTCATTACTATTGTTGAAGCATTGTGTATGCAATAGTATTTACCTTTGTTGTCTTTTACTCTTGTGTACCTCTCAGAATTTTTCTTTGCCATTGGTCATGTTGTGCTTCCTTCCTCTTAATATTGTCTTTCCCTGCACTACTGATAATAGGTATTTAGGTAATGTAGGGAGTCCTGGGAGTTGAGTCCAGCAGCAGTCCTGCTGCTAACCCATAGGTTACTTCTGTGATTCAAGTCTGTGAGCAGCTCCAACAGAGAAAAACGGGCAAGATGAGCAATCTCTTCCATGCAATTTACAGTCTCTGCACACCTCTGGAGAGTCAGCTCAGAGGCAACTCTGACTCAATGGCAGTGAGAACCATTAATTATTTCTCTCTTTCTCTCCTATCATCACTGTTGTTGTTGTTGTTAGGTGCTGTTGATTCGAGTACAACTTATAGCGACCCTGTGAACAGAAGAGCTGAACCCTGTTCTATCCTGCATCATCCTCACACTTCCCAACACACAAGAGCCCATTGCAGCAGTCACCGTGTCAGTCCACCTAGTTGAGGGTCTTCCTTTCCTTTGCTGACCCTCCACTCGTCCCAGCATCATGTCCTTCTCCAAGAAATAGCACCTCCTAACAACATGGCCAAAGTGTGTGAGGTGAAGCCCCATCATTTTTGCCTCCAAAAAGCATATTGGATACACCCTCTCCAAGACATATCATCATTAGTAGACATCAAATCATTTTTTTTCTTTCTATATGTAAACCTTTTCTTGACTTTTCATAATAATGCTCTCATGAAATACTTATGTTTTATGATTGACTTATTTTACTTTAGTAATGTCCTCCAGCTTTATCTGCATTATGAAGTGATTCAAATTGTCATTATTATTCTTTAACACTGAGAAGAAAGTATTCCATTGTCTGCCAACACAAAGGCAGGTGGTTTGAATTCACCAGCGGCTCCTCAGAAGAAAGGTGGACAATGTCCTCCCTTTAGATTTTCAGCCCCTGAAAACCTGCCCAAGGGTCAGCTATGAGTCAGTTCCAGCATAATGGCAATGAGTTGAGAGGTTTTGAGTATTCTCATTGTGTGTATGTATCATAGTTTGTGTAACCATTCAATTTATCTGCCTCTTACTGTGAACTCTTCTGTAATGAATGTGTGTAGGCACATGTCTGTTCATATCACTGGTCTTATTTCTAGAGGAAAAATATCTAGAAATGCAGTTACTAAATTAATCATATAGTATTTCTTTTTATAAAAAACTTTTCACAGCAATTTCAGTTAAAATTTACCACACCACACCACACCCCCCGGAGCAAATTGGTTTTTCAATCAACAATTCTACATATTTTGATTTGTGACAATCCCTACAATGCAACAGCACTCTCCCCCTCCTCCACGGTCACCATCCCCCTCCTCCACGGTCACCATCCCCCTCCTCCACAGTTACCATCCCCCCTCCTCCACGGTTACCATCCCCCTCCTCCACTGTTACCATCCCCCCTCCTCCACAGTCACCATCCCCCCTCCTCCACGGTTATCATCGCAGTTCATCCTTCATCCTTATGTCTTTCTGCCTTCTGGGCTTTATCTCTGACAGAATGTTGCCATTTTGGCCTTATATGGCTGATTGTTCTAAGGACTGAGGACCTCAATCATGTTACTACTTACTTTATTGACTGAAAGTCAAGTCATGGGAATGAGTTCAGTCCTAACCATGTGACTAAGGACCACAGAGGGTGACTTAGAGGTCCATATGCCTATCCTTTTTTCCTGACTGTAACTTTTGTTCCACATTTTTCTTCTTGTTGTTGTTGTTAAATATCATGAAGTATGATTCATAATGACCCTGTCAACAAAAGATCTGAACCCTGCTCTATCCAGCGCCATCCTCACACTCCCTGACACCCAAGAATCCATTGTAACAGTCACTGTGTCAATCCACCTGGTTGAGGGTCTTCCTTAGAATGGAACATTTTTAGACAATTCCACCCTATCTAGGACACTCTGACATGATCCTTTTCAGAGAAGTCAGAAGGAGCAGTCAGGCATTACCTAGTTCTGGTCAGGGTTGTGGAGACTGAGGTATAAGTCATCCATCAGTCGAGACATTTACGTCCCTTATTCACTGGAGAGACCAATAGTGAGAAACAAGCTTTAAAAACTTAGTCTCTGAGAAAAACTGGATGAAATATTTTTACGGCATTGAAGTCTATGGGGGAGAGAATAGTCTAAAAGTATTATATTTTAGGGCAT